ATGGGTATGTCATTAAGTTAAAAATGAGATACAGATTTGATCAAACTTATCCAAGTTTGTATCCTCTTGCGTTCTGGGCATTAAAACAACACTAAAATTCTTGGCGTTTATATTAATTTTTCAATACTAAACCCAGTATGAGGAAAAAGAGGTATAAAGTAGAAAATGTTACTAAATATTACGTAAGATTTCTCAATTTTACAAACTGTAAAGAAGTCTTCGGTTGGTTTTATCGTTTCACTAATTTACAATACACCTTGCACCATAATAAATGTATGTAAAAGATAATTGCACAAAATTAATTGCAGAATAGAATACATAAATAATGGAGTTATCTAAAACTTTCTATCGAAATATATCCTACATTAAACTTTTAATGCTGCAAGCAGAATTTGCAAATAAACGATTTTTGACTTCCAAGATAATCTGTAAAAACCTCCACAGAAGTATAAAACCCAAAGTAGTTACGAGTAACATCTAGACATAATTTATGACGACATGGGTGTAGATCAAATTTAATTCAATATTTCCCAATAAATTAAAAAAACGCATAAACTTTGATAAAAACTGAAAACTACCATTTTATGTTCCGAAAGTGGTTACTCAATGGAAACATTTATTATGTAGTGCTGGAATGCACTTTTTAAATAAAATCATGGAAAGTATGTTTTAAAACAAAACAATGATTCCATCTTTTTAAATAGAAAAGATAATATACAATATTTAATAAGTAGAATTTACAAATAAAGAATTGTCTACTACGAAAATGCGTTGTTATATAAATTATTGAATCACTTTGCATAACATTTCTACATTTAAAAAATATAGCTTCATTGAAAACCTCTGTACAGGGTTACATATTGAGTGAAATTTTCAAAATATGTAGTATTTTTGAATGCCAAATTAACGTTCACTTTGCGTATCACTAAATTACATTATGTAATACTTTTATGGCAACCTACAGAACAGAACTGAATTTCCAAACAAAAGTTTCATTTTATATCGTTAGAACATGTATGTATTACATAACGATTTTACATATTTTTTTATTTTTATTCTATTACTGTTCAATGTAAACATTTTTATTACGCACTGTATTCAGCTATTTTCTACCTTGATTACTTCGTCATCTGTATTAGAATATAAGTACAAATTCATTTATGAAATAATAGACATATTGTACACGTAGAAATTAGCGATTATAAAGATAGTTGACATTATTCGCGTCGTTAAAAATACGTCGTGTAACATTTTGAACGGAGTACATGCAAAATGAGTAAGCAGCAGTGGAAAAAGTAAAATATTCGAGACCGTTAACATAGCTCTCGTCGAATACCAGATTTTTATGATTCTCCGGTCATTCCTCAAAAGTTACATAATTGGTTGCTGGTAGTAGTTTGCCAGAAAATTGCTACTATTTAGGTCGATTCGATGTTTAAGCGTTAGTAAAATCAATAACGCGGCATGCCACGTCGTCGTACAAATTACGTACAAATCTCAATTCTCAGTAAAAGTTCACTGTCCTACCTACGACAAAAAAAGTTATATTTACCTAAAGAAGCCAACTAACGAACCGTTTACACGCAACTAGGATTCCCAAACGAACCGCTATGTATTAATTACCATCGATGTCGTATGCATATTTTCGATGTGTATACGTATAGTATACGCAGCGTGTAATTGACTAGCAGAGACTACAGGGGAACAATTTTTTTCCTAATAGAACACAACACACATAAATCCATCAATGTAATTCTAATCGACAGATTCGTTACTTTCAAATGTGCGTTTCCACTAGCGGATTTAATTGCCGTACCCTGTATTACTTGCTCCAATTAAGCTATCAGTAGGGCGACATTTTCATGAATCACAGACAATTGTGTAAATAGATCGTATTTGATCAAAGCATCTTGTCGATTTTAAAACTACATTAAGAGTCTGTAATTCATGTTATACACGAGATTTTCTATTAATTGTTAAATAAACGGCTTGTTTTCATACGGAAAGAGATACACGTGCGTTTAAATAGATGAATAAACTACTCTTAAGAATTCAAAATTAGAAAATGCCTGATAATTGAAGGAGATAACAAGTGAATGGAATTAAGAGTAGAAAGGTAAAAATGAACGACAACAGAAAATTGAAAATCATGACAACAATGCCGATCGATTAATAAATTTACTTGACTAAAATCTTAAGAGGAAATATAAAATTCCAAGAATAACCTTTCAATGCTGTCGCAATCGGCACGAAAATCTATGGATACATTGATTCATACGGATTATATTTTAATGTCGTGTCCGAGGTACATTGTTAGAAAGACAAAGTCAAGTTCGTACAGTTCCGTTTCGACGTACGTAATCCAAGTATGTAATTCATCTCTGACAAATACATATCGGGTAGAATTCACGTTGGACGTCATAGTGCACGACGATATGACAAAAATTTACCCAAACAACTTACCTTCATATTGTTCTCGGCGATGTACTCCAGCGAACATAGTTGATAAACAACGTAAGCACGGAGAAGCTCTTTAGTAGTTTTGCTTTTAAAAGCAGCTACTGGATCGTTAAACTTCAAATCCAAAGGGTCGACTTGTCGTGGAGCCGGCTTCACGTCAGCAGCAGCGCCGGTGTATTCACGTTCGTGCACCTGCACCAACTGCACCGATGGCTTCGTTACGTTCTCGAGAAACCCGACAGGAAGTGGTACACACTTCCTTAGCTTTTTACCGGCACTGCAACGCGGCACCGTTCTCAAAAACGCCATACCTTGCCGTCGCGTGTTTAATGTAAGAAATGTCAGCAACGGGTACGCTCTATGTAGAAAATGAACAGGAACTCGTTTAATGTTACAAGTCCCTTTTCTATATCACTGAGAAACAAACGAATAAAAATGTTTCAATATTACACTGTATAACGTACCACTGTACAAGGCTATTTTCTCAGTGACAAACGGGGTAAGTTCAACCTGCCACGATCGAGTCGGAGACCCCAATACCAATAGAGGTATCTCGTCAAAGCTTGGGCCGAATAGCAAGGTGGGGTACTCGTAGACGTCCAGCGACGTACGAGTCAACCGCTTGCCTCGTAACAGTACTCTTCACAACGTGAAAACTATTCAAAAGACCTGTTAAAACCCGTCGTTAAAAACTGTACAAATTTTTCGAGATAGTCCCTTTTTCATTTTGTTATAAATATTACCCAGCAAACTGAATTTCAATTGTCACACGTTGCCCCAATTACTATACCGCAACAATAGATACCGGAGTTCTGATTGGTTCGTCACAGAGGTGTGTTCAGACTGCTGAGTCTGACTGGTCGGTTAAATTTTGGGAAATGCCAATAACTGCGCCGTTGTATACTGCGCACAGTGGCGCAAAACACATTCTATATTGCCCTGATCCAATTTTCTAATTTTTTATTCATTTCCAATAACGTACATTTCAAAAATCGATGTTCATTGTGTTTCAAATAATAACTATTCAAACGACTAATTGATTAATTTTTAAATCAAAATTAGTTTTCGAAAATTCTTAATAGTACCAATTTTGTATTTGTGGTGTATCATTCTATTTTCAACGAAATTATCATCTTCATATTGTCTGTAATGGTACAAAAATAAATATATATTTAGATTTTAAAGATTAAATATCAGCGTGTCTTGTCTTATCTTCTGCAAAAATACTTAAACTTTCATACAATATTAAATGTAATGATTTATGCGTAATATTCAATTATTTATTAATTATTTTATGTAATTTATATAGTCCAGAATCCAAGTCAAACATTTACGTTTCATATTTTTTTATATTTTTTATTTAATTATATTTTTTATATCGTTATAATATCAAAGTTAATTTCGACTTTGATACTTTATTCCATACATTAACTGCATAAATCATTTTTCGTTTTCCGATACATTATATGTTGCGTGACAATAACCAATGAAAAACCTCAATTTAAAATGAATAATATTCAGAGTAATTTCTTTTCAAAAAACGAATTTACTTATATACAAAAAACACTTGCACGTATGATTCTATGAACATCACATATAAAGTTGTAAAATTGAGTTAATATCGTATAAATACATTCAAATTTGTATAGTTATATAGAGACGTTTTTATTAAAACATTAATTTAGTCGTACCAAATATATTTTAATAACTAAAACTGTATACAAACGTTACTTAATATAATGCTTTTTTTAAAGTTTCTGTTATAAAAAGGATTACAAAATTAAATTTACGATTTGCTCGTACGACACCATATGATTTTATCTTTATGATTGTCCTACGTATGTAACAAGTTAGTCGTGACCGTTGAGGATTGTAAAATATTTTAAGAAACTTTAAAATAAAACGTTTTATAATCTTACGATATTTGTTGTACCATAAATAAAAAAATTTCACAATTAGAAATATTGTAGAAGCACTATTTTAAATACATTTAAAATGTACACTCGTATGCATTATGTTACATACTTTAAACATTGTTGCAAGAATTGGTTTATAATTTACTGTAAACTAACATTTCCTTAATATATATACAAAACATGTAGATTCTAAGAGTTAAAACCAATATAGTTAAAACAAAAATAATTTATTAGCAAAAGCATTCATATCGTTGCTATTCCTAGTAGTTTTCGCATCTCCTTTACACATGCAGTCAATTCAATTTCTAACCTCAAAGTATCTAGTCAGAATTTTGCGTAACATATATAAAAGCATTAATTTACAAATGTGTCAGAAATGTTAGAACTCGGAAGTATATGTTGGCTTAAGCTTTTTAAAAAATATATGCTGTCTTTATTTGTATTGACATAATTTTTTTTAATTTGTACTGAGGATAGAGGTATTGGGCTGTTTGAAACAGTATTTGTGATACTTTTGATATGTATTGTTTAGATTGTTATTTCGTTCGTGGTAATGCGTCTACATACAACGAAGTAACATTGTTATATACATAAAAGGGCATTCATTTCTTCAAATTAAAGAAAATGGATGATTCAATAAAGTTGATCATACATAAAGGAACTACAATTTTTGACAGTTTTATTATTACATCTTCTTCTGTAATTAGATACAATCAAAAAGTGAAAGAGAGGAAAATTACAGATCAAATAGATCCTAACGTAAATAGATACAATGGACACAGGATAGAAAAAATAAATAAGATTTGCTTCAATAAAAATGCTTATTTTGTATCAGCTTATGTTGTAACATTAATGAATTCAAGAACATATCGTACAGCTGCGCTTAACACACTGTTACAATATTTAGCACATAGAGTTCCAGATAAAATACATTCAAAGATAATTTTAATGAAATTATGTACACCAAAGAAACAATTTTTAGATTACAACTGGTAAGAAAGGAATATATAATACTCTTTGAGTGCTAAATCAAATTATGTCTAATGGAATTTTTCATGTTTCAGGAATACAAGGATAACACAGATGATATTGGAAAGGATTGATGTTGATCATACTATGTCTTGGTTATCTACTTTAGGTGGAGCATTTTCAGCTTTAGGAGAAGAATTCCAATACTGTGTAAGTTTGGAAAAACATTTAATAGATATAAAAGATGTATACAGTACAATATACAAGGTGTAATAAAGGTGTTGTAGTTCCCTGAAATGGGTCACTCGTGAGATGTTTTGTGACAAGTGTTTCTTTAACAAAAATGTTATTCCGAGGCTTTGATAATGAGATATTAACGAAAAACCCTGACCAATCAGAGCTCGGCCTGCAGATCCGTGTTCTGAATGGTCGGGGTTTTTCATTACTATCTCGTTAGCAAAGCATTGGATAGCATTTTTGCTAAACAAAATTTGTTCCAAATCACCTCACGAGTGACCCATTTTAGGGACCTACAACACTTTTGTTACACCTTGTATACGTATTGGGTTACTTTTTAACTTGAATACTTATTTCCTTTATTTCTTCTTGCATAATTAAGGAAAAAAATTATAACAATATATTACACATTAAATCAAAAGTAACATATTTTACACAGGCTGAGATAGCAGGAAAAATTTCTGTAAAGCAGTTTGACTTAGCACTGCGTCTTGGAGATCCTCTTTTAGTTGCTCGTTGTAAATTATATGCTGCTTTAAGTTTAATCCAACAAGGCCAATTAAAAGTTCCAAAAAAGTTAGTTAGGAATATTTATACATTTTCCATTACCAAACATGATGTTCGCTTACAAAACATGTGTCAAGGTATATGGGCTAAACTGAAATATTGCTATAAAAAACGAAAAGAATGGCATAAACGTTTTTAGTTCTTTATGCCACTACACATTGCAATTAGTCCAAGGAAATTTCATATTTATGTTTAAGAAGAGATGAAATGTATAAAATATTCTTTCCACAAATGTATTTTTTTGTAATTATTAAAAAATAATGCTAACAGGAAGGATTATGTTAACTGTTAAATAAAACGTAATAATCAAATCTCTTACTCCAAATATTTTTATTGATCTTCATATAATTATAATTTTATAATTTTCAACTATTTAAATTTCAGAACAGAAACACGCACACATAAGTATCAATTTAAATGCTTATTCTCATAATATTTAAAATATTTATTACTTGTTTACATTCCAAAAATGTCTAATATAATACATTAGTTTCATATTTTTGGTTTTTCATTATACTTAAAATATATAAAATTGTGTATTCCAGGCATTACAAGTAACTTAAGTATAAATAAAATTTTTAATAGAAAACAAATATGTAAGACAATGCTACTATTGATAAAAATAAACGAAACTTATTTTCCAAATAAAAAGTTAGAAATTACTCAATACACATGACAAAACTTTAATTTTAGGAACTATATTAAATATATAATTGTTAGTTTTTTCTCAATTTCAGCAAAGAACATTACTATAAATGCACCCACACAAATGTTAAATAAGATAATATTTATAATTATTTTATAATTTAATTTTCTAAAATTATTTTTCAGTTATTAATTACTTATGAAAATGTCAAATTATTATTTTATTGTATTTTGAATACGAATGTGCTTAAAATTTAATTTCATCTTCAATCTTAAATACTTCATACGTTCTTTTATTAACTAAAAAATTTCATCTTTAAATGTTTAAGCTTACATTACTATCAATGAGCAAGAGTACCCATAGGATCCCATGCAGGTAAGACAATAGGTTCTTGTTCAAACACTGCTAATACATCTGCAGGTACTAATTTTTTATCAATGACTGCTTCAAAGACAAATTCAGAAAACCACTCAGCTGTTAATAATAGATATCCTTTCTGTCCTTGATCGTCCCCCCAAGAATTTTCTACCCGGAACTTTTTAATTTTGCCTTCATTCTGTAAAAGAAAGAATCTTATCTTACAAAATATCGTTCATACAATTAACAACATTAGACTATATGTATGAATTGTACATGACATAAAGTTGATAAATGTTAATATATTTTTGTAAATACAAATTCATAAAACATTAATAACTTACATCAATTGCAACTGCCGTAAACGCCATTGCATGAACCATCATAGAATCTCCATAAAGCAATCTATCTGCTTTTGTAAGGTTGACTTGTATATCTGTTCCAAACATCAATTTATAATCATACGCCCTCATGTCTTGAATACCTTGTTTGCCTATTAACCGTTTGTTTACATCACATCCGAACCATACAGGTTCATTTTTCTTTATACTTTCTGCACATAATTTCATTAATAATTCAGGTGGCTGATTATTGTATAACGTTGGTCTTCCACCCACTATATTACCCAAACAATCTATTGTATAAAGTTTTCCATATATGTTGGATGGCCTTGGATCTGTTACTAAACAAATCTTATCATTTACATTATAATATGGTTTCACATATTTCTCATAAAACTCCACTGGTGTAATTGGTCCGATACAATTGTAATTCTTTGATTTATCATAGTATTCCCAAGTGATTGTTTCTGAAGGAATGCCTAAACAAATACCAATTATTCGATAAATTACAACCATTTGTTCTAGAATTTTATTTTTTAATTCTTCATCCGTTGCCCAATTAGATACCATATCTCTGAGTACTTTGGAGTACTCTCTCAGTTTACTTTTCAAGATACTATTCATATTGAAACTAAATTCACAGTTGTATGATTCAGGAAAGCAGACTTTAGGAACAAGACCATGTCGGTTTATAAGGTTAACAATCATGTCCCATTGACCTCCATCACAAACTGGATCATTCAATAAGAATGATACTAAGCGACCATCCACAGGTTCACCTTGCCTAGCAGTCTTTATGATATTGTGCAGAAAATAATTACATCGTTCAACCTATAAAATAAAGAATATATTTATAAACATAAAATATTTTTATAAAGATGTTATGCGAAATGTTATCTTAAAATATTAACAATGGACAACATTAACCTTATCCCAAAAAAACAAATAGGCTTGGCTAAATTCAAACTCATCCAAATTGTGTTGCTTCATAAAGGCTGGTCTTATAACATTTAAAATAGAAAACAACCAGCATCGTCCAGAACGTTTTTGATTTGTCAAAGGCTTCCCTTCTGTTTCAATCTTATGAGTGAAAACATGTTGTGACTCTTCTAAAACTTTTCGTGAAACACAAGCTTCTATAAGATTTGCTCGTGTGCATACATTTTGTGCCAAGCTATTGCGACTATCTTCATAAAATTTGGCACGTAACTGACTTAAAACTTCTGGCGTAAGAACACCTGCTGCTTAAAGAAAAAATAATAACATATTTATAGTTTCAGCAAAATAGGAATATTTAAAATTCTAATTCTATCTACTTAGGGGCAATAAACAACTTTCCATTATCAAACCGATATTTAAGTAAATTTAAATTGTGAATTTATTTCTCCTGTTCAAATCTTTAATACATTAAAAATAAAATAAAAACTCAAACTATAATAAAATATTTATATTTATTATATACTACGTAATAAAGTATTCATGTTCTTTTTACATTTTTTTTTATATGTAATATCTTTCCAGAAAATGATACACATTTTTCATGTATTTTTCTTGAAATTCATGAAATGAGTCACATGTATCAAAATTTGGATACAAAAATGAAAAACAAACTTTAAGGTTATTTATCAGCATAGTAATAGTAATCACATGATTCATATATTACAATTTTATAATACAATACTATACTATACATAAATAGTGTAAATGAATTATAATTGTAATTTCATTAATATAAGGATATAGGAAACAAGTGTATAAGTCAGATAACCATAATGTAGAATGCGAAACACTTGATACACCTATTAAATTAAAATTAAAATACTAAAAATTTGTTTTGCATTAAAATATATAATGCACACAATGCAATAGTAGGAATTTGCGGTAAAAATAATACTTCTTAAATGGAATTTACTGCTAAAACTTTACATTTCAAAATTATACATAAGTACATAAATATATAAATAGTATTGTTGTTAATTTGTGTTTAATTTCATGAAATTATACAAGACTTAAAGGATAATATATATGTATCTCAAGAAAGTAATTGGATGATTACTTATTTTGCTACATAAATGCATACTACCCATGCAATAATCATGTTTGACTATCTTGAAAAATAAATATTGTACAAATAGAAAGTGTCTTACAAAATAGTGAATAAGAATAGGGAGTGGCTAAACAAAATTCTTGAAAGGATTCTATTATATTTGTTACAAATATTTTTACAAATATGTAAAAAATAATCATCAAAACTGAAAATACAAACATAAGTAAAAGCATAACTCACAGGCAATCATCGTGACGTGTGAATTCTTGTCGCTTCAGCTGTAACGGATTCAGTGACGGTTTTTACCAACAACATGCAGAACTTAGGAATCGTGAAGATATATCACTTCTACTGTGTACATTCATTCGATAGACATGATAAGAATGATAATTTTGTCTACATCACACCCGAGTTCATGAACTTTACTAAAGGTATTTAAACATTACTCATATCTAGATTATAGTCCAATTCAAGTAATTTAAGCGCTACCACCGTAACCAATCAAAAAGCATGGCATGGTATTAATATCCGGTAGTGAATGAATGGGGCTTCCATAGATGTATGAAATCATATGAAACACAAAACTTTTTTGAACGCAATGTGTAATGGGACAATGAATTATTCATATGTTTTTGAAACAATTTAAAATAAGATTGACGTATTTAATGTTATGTGAAGTTAAAATGTTTTTATAATAATTCATTCTAAATTATGTACTTATGACAAACTAAAACATATTTTTTAGTCATTCACATTCTCAATAAGGGAGATTGTAATTCCAAAAAATTCGGAGTAGTTTTAACTATTTAATTTTATGTAAAAGTATGCCTTAAATTTTCTACATTCCGCGTGATCATACATTTGTAATTCAATTTCTTTAATCAGTTTCATTAAATTAATAAAAAAAAATGCATAAATTCAATTTAAGAAATACGAATGAAATAATAGGATAATAGGAATTCATTAATGTCAACTAGGTACTTGAACATATTAGAAAATTTGTTCATAGATAAAATTTATTAACTTCTAGTCAACTTTACACTCATAGGTTATGAAAAATCATATAATGTATGTATGTACTTACATATATTTTACTAATACTACGATTGTAATTACAAAAAAAAACAACTGTATTTATATTATATTTTATTTCGGTGCTTGTAATAATCAATTTTTGATAAAATAACTTCATGAAGTCAGTTTTCATAAATTTTGTTGTTTCATGAAATTTAAGTAGCTTAACTTCTATTCATAATATGTCAATATCATAAATGTATAGTTAATACCATAGATATTACTATGTAAGTAAATTTAGGTTTAATTATTGGTAAATTTTCAGCAGATTTCAAAAAAACTCAGTTACAATCAGTTCACATTTAAAATTACAAAATTTAATCATGAGCTTACGTTTGGTGAAGGTGGTTCTTCTGCTTTTGATTCCAAAGAGAAAGGTGGAATTCTACAATCAAACGCATATCCATCTTCTCTTTCCATTCTAAATGTACCCCTAAAACAATATAATTTTTTGAAAATAGTATTGTATTTTAACCGTCATTGTTTAAAAATTTTAATTTAACCATTAAGATCTCGTATTCTAATACTAATATTTTTCAATCAAATGTAAATATACTAAATAATAAGATACACACCACATGTGGCCACTTGCAGCTTGTAAACTCACATGACTACTATACTGAAAGGCAGGTAAAGTTTTTGATAAAACTGGTTCTTGGCCAACTACACCTCTACCTCTAACAGTTTCTAAAGTCCCAGAAAGACTAAATATTCTCCAATGTCTCTCACGTAACTGTACACTCAGATCACCCAAGTTTTCCAAACGAATACAGTATCGCCACTATGAAATATATATTTTATACTGTTATTATAAAAATTTTGTATTAATGTATACCTGATATATTGCTTGCTGTAATATGTACCCAATGTACGGCTGTGGTTTGACTTCCTCTACAACCCATATAAAAGGGTATGACAGTAACACGAATATTTTCAGTAGTTTCTTTATGTACATCTGATAATTCCAACCATGGATGATTCTTCTTTTGCCATGCCTTAAGAGTTTCTTGTGCAACAAAGCATGGATCTCGATCTGATTTATACATTAAAAATTTATCAAAAAGTTCATGTTGCAATGCCATCTTTTCATTTGTTGTGTAAGGTAAAACATCTTCGTGAGCAACATAATCTAACCCTGGTATTGCATACAAACTGCGACTACTTTCTTGATTTCCCAAAAATGTTACAGCTTCTGTTTGGGCACGCTACATATACAAATATAAAATTTAAATAACGTAGATTTTCAATGAATTGTACAAATATTGCTTAGAGCAAGTAGTTGTATAAAATTATAGTACTATATTATTCTTTTATAATTTGAAATACAACAGTGCTACCACCACTTTCCTTCATTTAGAGGCATACTTGGAGTACAAAAAGTTAAATCAATTGGTCATTCAAAGCCACTTTCCTAAATGTTGTAATATAGAAGATTATTAGAATATCCATAGCAGATACTTTGTTGTATACAGGTAGTACCTGACAGTGGATGAAGCTTTTACTAAAGAATAGCTTCAAATGGCCAGTTGATTTAACATCTATAATAATTATTAAAATGTAAATTAATTTGTAAAGTGTAAAAATATTATCACTTAATATGTAAACACAAATGGAATGTGATAATGTATTACTTATGCGAATTAAACAAATTTTGAGATAATGATTAGACTAAATAATAACATGCTTCATTAAGACACATTAACCTTAATAGACTTACTATGTGAGGACAATCTCTTTGATCGATTAATACTTGGTAAAATATATGTGTTCTACCTATTACTTCTTTTTCCACACTATTAAAATTATCACTCGTATTTCTAAAACCATATAATAATTTAATTAATTATACTGTTCATAGTAATGAATTATTTTTATCATAATGTAAATTAATACATTACACTTACTCCTCTGTTTTATTTGGAATATCTCTATCATAAATTCTTGCGACCCATGGAAATAATATTACACCACGGTATCCGAATACTCTGTGTAAAATTAGTTGACCAGTTTCATATTTTCCTTGCAATTTTGGTGTTTCTAACTTTCCTACTTCAGCCAATCTAGAATGCAAACATAGTTTTTGAAATTGTAATCTCATCTTTTAAACAGGAAACATTTTATGAATTTGAAAAAAGAATTGTTTCACATATTGTTACTCATATAAATACACCAAAATAAACATTAAAAACGTATAAGTAGAAAATCTATAAAGAAAGACAGCTATTGGCTCAAAATTAGAGATAACACAATTCCAATTTTAATTAAATGTCACATCTAACTACACTTTATAAAACAGCAGTAATGCATATTTACGACTTTTCCTACAACCATTACATTAATAACATTTAGTTTCAATAAAATTTACATCACCTGATATGTCTTACGTGATGCAGACAAGACTTTTTCGGTATTTTAAGAAGGTAACATTTCAATTTGCAAGTAACCAAGTTTCGCGTAAGTTCCATACTTTTTTATATTACTGAAGTAGAGTTATTAATTTAATTTGAGCATCACAAAATTGAAAATACATGACAGTGTTTCCTTGAAATTTCTCAAGCTTTTTACCGACTACGTTACAATAATATACGTTACACGTTCTGTTTACATATATGCGCACTTAACGTAAAGACGAATTTTCATGACGAGAATATTCTACTTGACAGAGTAGTAATGGGCACTATCGACTGCTATCGACTAGTTACTATTTATGTAGTTTCAACCCATGGACATAGGAATAAGGGAACGGAGTGTAAACTCAGTTTATTGGCGAGGGACACGAAGCATAGCCGACGAGTCACACGGGGTCACAGGCCATCTCTAATGAATACACACGTTACAAAGGTTTTTGTTACACTTGAAAAGTTATAAATGAAATTAAATATCTACTAGAAGTGTACAGATGGAGAAGATACAATAAAGGCAATTATGAGTAAATATAATTTTTGTTATACTTAAACAAAAGGAACAAGATACTATTCAAACATTCATTTATAACCTATATCAAATAATATGCTCCATGTAGTTCAAGAATTCTAAAGACTGAAAACATACTAATGGTTATGAAAATGGGGAAAAAAGACATCATACAAGCCGTAGTTATTGCGGATGATTTTGTGACAAACTTAACACCCGTGCAAGATATATTTCCAAGTGTTTTAATGCCAATTATAAATGTACCACTTCTAGATTACTTAATGGAAACCCTTATTAAATCTAGAATACAAGAATTGTTCCTTTATTGTAGCAGTCATATAGAGTTAATAAAAGCTTACATAAATGAGAGAAAGTGGTCGAGAATATCAGTTTCTTTGATCATATCAGAAGGATGCAGATCTTTGGGTGATGCACTTAGAGATATTGATACAAAAGGTACCATTCGTGCAAATTTTATACTTGTGCGAGGAGATGCTTTTATTAATGCAGATCTCACGAGTGCTTTAAATGTTCATCGTGGAAAGCTTGAAAAAGATAAAGGAGCAACAATGACCATGTTAATGAGAAACATTGGTTCGACAAATGATTCATTGTTGAAAAAGGAAACATTTCTATTAGTTTCTGATAAAACTAATAAGAAGGTTCTACATTATGATAAATTAAGGACTGATGAGAAGAAGGTGAAATTAGAATTAAATTGGTTTCTGGACCATAGTGAGATTGAGATTAATACGTGCTTTATGGATACTCATGTTTATTTATGTTCACCTTCTGTACTTCCATTATTCTCAGATAATTTTGATTTTCAAGTAAGTTATTCAAGTACAGTTTCTTGTTAAAGGAAATTACCACAATGATAGTTGAATAAAATTGTTTACTATTAGGTTCTAAGTGAAAATCTATTAAGTTAAATGTGTTAACTTTGAAGGATGTTTTTTATTTTTTTTGGAAACATAACATTACTATGTACCATTGCATGTAGGTCCAGTGATCACTGATTATCATGTTACACTTTACATTTCAAATTTACAAGGTATAAAACCTTTAATCTTTTAACCCAACGTGAAAACTACTTTCATGAAGTGTAACATATCTAATTAATGAGTTTATAAAATTAACTCTGAGAAAGAAAAATCAAAATTATATATTGTATTTGTATGAATGTATTCCAATATTGTAAGAATATATTACTGAAGCAATAGGGTATTGCTTCTGGAATATATTCTTACAATATTGATTACTATGACAATGTGAAGAATAAACAATGTTTTCAAGTCTTCATTGTGGTATTTTCCCATAAGTAATTTATAAAAGTTTATGTTAGTGTTATTAGTCCTTTATTAGTAGTTTTAAAAACTAAACAAGTGTTATATTTCCAAGCCTTTCAAAATATATCTCATATTTATCTAAAAAGTTTTCAACTTTTGAAAACAATTAATTGAATTTTTTTATAACAAATAATTTAACAAACGTTTGTTTTATGTATATTGACTTGAATATACAGTTCATAAAATTTGTCATATACAGAGTATCTCACCTTAATTAATTTGTGGGAATTATAATAACGATACTAATGATAAAAAAAAGTCAGTGAGGTGGTTATGTGCTGTAGACAATTTGATTATAACTAAAAATGTTCAGGTTTTTCAAAGTTACCAGTAGACTGTGGATTTTATGCATTTATAGTACAATTAATAAAAATGTTAATCCTAATAAAACTCTCAATTCAAGAATTGAATTTCTTTTAAAAATTTTCTGTACTTGTAATCTTGTAGTTTCAAGCAAGATGATAATAATTTACATCAATCGATCATTTACTAATTATTACATGATTTTTTAACAAGCATTCAAAATACTTATTTATGTAGGAATCATCTTTGTATTGCATAGAAAAGTGAAATTAATAAACCTAATAAAGTACAAGTTAGTATAGTTGTACAATTTAAATTAAATTATTGAAATTGTTTCAAGATCTCTCACACAGTGAGCATTCTTTTGAGAATCAAGTTTATAGCTGATGTTTTGAACATTTATTTTGAGTTAATTGAAGAAGTAACCTTGAATGACCTAAGCAAATAAAAATCGCAATTTTTATGTTTTCTGAAACTACACTATGCATGCAAAAAAATGTGCAGAATATCCTGTAAATATGTGGAAGTCACTTCAGGGATTAAATAGGGGCCTGGAAATAGTCAAAAAAGTTTTTCCTCTACTTTGAGACCAACGAAACTGAAACAAATTTTTATTTTATTAAATATATTTTTAAGATGAAGTCTGATAAAAAAAATGACCCATACAAACGTTTCTTCTATTTTCTCGTAAAATAAGAAATATGGGTTTTTATTTGAAAAACGAAAGTGGTCCTTCAAATAACTTTGAAGACGCTCAACAAATAAAAAATAAATAAGATAGTTGTATTTCCCCCTTGAAACCGTGAGATTGTTGTATGCGACACCTTTCCCGAAAATGCGTTGATTTCGAGATATTTAGATTTGAAGTTCTTAAATGGACACTCTATATGTATGTTTATATGACCTTTTTGATCATTTTTGAGTATCGAATTTATTTTCTGCAATAGATTCCACATATTACAAGGCAATCTGGACAATTTTGTTTAAAAATATGATAATGAACTTCAGTTGCTTCAAATTGCTGCTGTATACAAGGATTTAATTTGTATTGCCCTTTTTGAATATATTCCAGTTTACATCTAAAACGTTATTTGATATTGTCAATAATGTCACTTATATTCCTGGAGATTGATTAAAATTGATCACTCTGTATAACATCATATCAAATAAGTATACACTGCAATTTTATATGTTACTAATAGACAATGGAAGATTTTATCCGAGGAGTGCTGATGAATGAAGAAATTTTAAATTCCCGAATTTATTGGCAGCAAATGAATCCTGAAGACTATAGTCTACCAATTGTGTCGTGGAATGCATACCAGACTCTTAACCGTGATATTTTAAACCGGCATAGTTTTCCATTTACTCCGAATTCCATTCATTTTATTCATATGCCAAGAAGCACTTATAAACATAGAAATGCTTCTCTTGCTAAGGGGTGTACATTAGAGGAAGACAGTGTGATCTGTCAAAACAGTATACTTGGGAATGATACGTCTGTTACAAGATCTGTTATTGGTGACAATTGTTTAGTAGGCTGTAATGTAACCATTAAGAACTCTTATATACTATCCAATATAAAAATTGGAGATAATTGTACTATTACAAACACTATAGTATTTCCAAAATGTGTTATTAAACAGGCCACACATATAAATGGTTGTATATTATGTCCTGGAACAAATACTGATGCTCACATGGAATATATTGATTCTATTTTAGAATCGAAAGATAATACAATTAATATAAAAAATATATCAGAAATTGATGTTGATAATGATTTTCAGTTTTTTAACGATCATCACACAATGGAATGTGATGATTATTCTACAGATATGACGAGTATCGATGAAGGTTCTGAATGCAATTCACCAGCTCCAGATGACACGAATATGTTCCTATCTGAAGTTATTGATAGTCTATTAAGAGGTTTTCAAGATAGGCTTAATTGTGAAAACTTAATTTTAGAGATAAATTCATCAAGATATGCATATAATGTATCCATGAGAGAAGTAACATATAATGTCATTAAAGCTATATTAAGCTTGCCTTTCCATTACCTTTCAGAAAAGAAAGAAGCTGTAGATAATCAAAATTATCAGAAAAACTTAAAAATTATGATAATTTATTTTCATCCAATTATTTTAAACTATGTGAAAACAGAAGATGCTCAAGATGATTGTTTACGTGCAGTAGAAGAGGTTGCTAGTACAACTCAAGAATTATTACCGTTTTTAAAGCATTTGTTACATGTTTTTTATGATAAAGATGTATTATCAGAAGAAAAAATTTTAGAATGGTACAGATCCAATGATAAAAGTATAAATGAGTTTCAAAACAGTAATGTCAGAACTGTAATACGACCGTTTATTAAATGGCTGGAAGAAGCTGAAGAAGATACTAGTGGAAGTGAAGATGATGAATAATTGCAGACTGAAAATAAAGATACTCTGATAAAAACATGTATAAAAACACACATATTAGACATACACTATTTGAATAATGAAAGAGTTTATTAAGTTAAAAGCGAAGTATTCATGTAATATAATCATAAATGTATAAAATTAGGAGGTTTACATTAACTGAATTACCATAAACTGAATTGTAATTACATGCAAATTATTGTAATATATGTATTACATAATAATTCATAATTAAAAACGAAGCAAAATGAAATCATTGTGTATATTGTAATATCTTTATTATTGTATCAGTTGATTCTTATGATAGTACACTGAGCAATGATGCGGATCAAGTGTAAATAAATTATTTTATATATTATGATGTGTATAGATTACAGATTTTATTGAAATGTTTTAAGTAATATGTTTAAAAAACTGTATCATTATTCTGTGGGCAAGATAATATCTGTTAAGTTGTGCCAAGTTCTATGCTTATGATCCGGAAATTTAATTACATCTATCCAATGTCTTAATCTTGCTCCTTTGCTGTTACAACTTAATTCAAGTCCACCTAAATAAAATAAGAAACTCATTAATGTGACATAATATCAAGTAATATACAATACACTTTTCCTTATGATGTGTTGTTTCTTGGAGGATCAAATGTGAACATTTATAACCATGTTATTGAAATTGCATGTTGTTATTATGAACAACATTTTGAACATTATTCTGCATTATGTAGTTTAATAATAAATGTTACCAAAACAAATCATCTCAAATTCTAGAAAGTTTCTTCCAAAAAACATTTGAAATGTATGGTACATTTGTTATGTATTTTCTGCTATAAATCAGATTTGCCCCGACTGTTCTACTAGTTTTTTTCTAAATCTGGATGTCTGTTAATTGAATAGTCTCCTTGTAGAAAAAATGTTTTAGAAATGTGTATTTAATATGATAAAAGGTATTAAAGTTTTACCATTGTAGCATTAGAATGTTATGCTATGCATTAAAATAATAATTGTTTTACTGCATGTAAAGATTAGTTCTCAGTAAAAATAACTGCTATATTTATTGGAACATATTTAATATGATATTAGAACTATTTGTACTTCATTTTATTTCCTCAATTGCCTTCCTTAAGGAAATCATCTAATTAATGAACATCCTCTATCTTAATATATTAAATACATTATATTTTTTTGCTATTACCAAGGTAGTCATTACTTTTTCCAAAATCCTTGTCCCACACTGTAAGATATAATGTAAGTCTCATAAGATCTGTCAATCGTGTACTGAAAATGAATTCTTCATTCCATTCTGGGTTCAGAGTTTTCCACTTGATTGTTGTATTGTGTGAATTGCGGCCTGTGAGTTTTCTAGAGGTTAACTTTCTGCATCTGATACGTGCAGTTGAATAGTCGAAGACACGTTGTTTATGATTGTTTATCACACTTTCTATAAGGCACAACTTGACAAATGGGTCGGAAAATCCATTACTATCCATTGGAAGTAGGTTTGTAGCTCGATGAACCATAACCATCAGTGCTCTGCGTTTTGTACAATAACTTAGACCCACTTGAATCTCTCCCCGTCCACTGGAAAATACACCCCAAGCTGCTTCTTCATTGTCCACCTATGCCAATGTCGAGCTCTTATATCTTAGTGTCTGCAATAATGTAAGTAAAGTCGGCCGTCTCGAAAAATTGAAGGCACGATAAAATAATAATTAGAGAAATTGCTGTGCTTATGATACGTAATCATATGAATAACATTTAAGTATTAAATGTGCAAGAAAAAATAATTACAATATTTAAACGCGAGTATGTGACAACTATTGGGTAATGCTAACAAAGCAAAATCTGCAATCGAGATGGGAGTACTTTTTTATAGAACCTTATGCACAGCTATGCATAAATAAAACACTAAGTATTAAGTACTAACGTTTCTTGTCATAAATAAAATAATTCCTTCATTTCTAAGAGCTGTTTTAGCAATATAATCAACGATGTTTCCTTTGTTAAATTTGTTATATGAAACTCTCATTTACCTATAGTAAATAGGAGAAGGATCGTCATTTTTTCAAAATATTATTCAAAATTCAAGTTTATTTAACACACAACATAAACAAAAGAGACTACAAAAATTATTCATCAATTGTCAAAAAAGTAAAAAGTAAATGGTTCTATCTGAATTTAAATCCAGGCCTCCCGTATGACAGTCTTGGAACCCATATTCTGTGTTTTATTTATATGTGTCATACTCTACATTTTTCAGAGGTTTCATTTAAGAAAAAGTGCTTGTATTGATTGTAAACTTCTCTTGCAAGTAATAAATTAGCAATAACTAATGTTTTAAATAATTCACGTTTAAATCATTCTTATTCAATATATAATGTCAAGAAGAAAGAAAATTAATTATACTTACTGGATAATGATCTTGTAATGGAATTTGTAGGGGAAACTTCGCTTCTCCTAGAAAATCTTGACCTGATGGATCGTCTTGGAGAATCAGAATGTGTAGTGCTTTGCCATTCCATATCTGTTATCGAACAATCATTAATTTCTTACATTTCAACTCATCAAGACATTTGGCATAATGATACAAAAAATGTCCATTGTACGTACGTCGGTTTCCATCGTTCCATAAATGTTTAGCGTCTCGTTGTATACTGGATCCCGAGTTTTGTGAACAGTCTTTGTTCGAAGACGTTTCGTCGTCGTAACTGCGTCTATTGGCAATATGTTGAGTTTGCAGAACGAATCGGCGAGACCATGAATATCCATTGGTCGTAAACCTCGTGCTCGGTCCACTTTGCATTGTAGGCACTGAACTGCTGGGTCGTATCGCAAGGAGACTTCTAGAGTTCCATAGCTTTGCTCCGTTTCTAGTTAACATAGTATCATTAGAATATTTTAAAGTAATACTTTTATAAAATTTATTTATGGATACATGAAACCATAGTCTATTTTGGGGTTTACTTGGACACTAAATTAAAATACTTCTTAAACAGTAATGATAAAGCCAAAATAATACCGTATACTTTTAAATCCATTCATAAAGTAATGATAAGTTATAAAATGTATTCTTCCCATAGGGTGGTCTGGGACTTTTGAATGACCTAACATATTAAATTATGTACACAAGCAATTATGTTCCTGCATTGTTTGTTCTATGATTACATATTTTCTTTTAATTTTATTGTAATTAATATCACAAACTTACCGTGTTCCGGCGTTTGTAGACGTGATAAGTCGATTTGATTGTTGCTGCGAGGGTTCTCCCTTTTTAAGCAAGATTGACTTCCGTCCTGATCCATGTGTTCTAGAATTTGTTCCATTGGAATGATTGTCGTTCCTTGTGTCGTTGGACTCATTAACGCATTCAGTCTGCAATATATTAATTGATATCAGCTAAATTTCTACTCTTTTGTTTATTATTCTTACGTACCTGGGAGACTGTACCTGAGAGCTTTTTAAACGATCGTATAAATTAAACTCCATTCTACGAGTATCATCGTTCAGTCCATTAGGATTGTCAAATTTTTTATTTTTTTCATCGACAATTTCATCCTCGAACGACACGTGTTGTTCAATTTGAGGATCGTTAATGGTTTTACCGTTTGATCGCAACCGTGAGCTTGTTATTGAAGCAGTTGGTGAAACTCGACTACATTGGGATGCGATGGAAAGAGTAGACTTATCTAATTGATCTGAACATTCTTCACGATTGTTTGATGGTGATAGATCATTGGACCGTTGTCCTGGCGATGTTTTTGAGACGCTGCTGGTTGATTGTGCAGAATTGGAAAATGGTGAAAGTCGCGTCACTTCATCGTCAGAAGAAGAATCCTGTGGTTCAATAGGCTCCAGAGATTTATTTCCTCCAACTATCCAAGATGATTGTTTGCGACCAATTCGCGACCATCCCCGTTCCTGGTTTTTAAACATATCAATATATTTATTACTCAAATCCTTAAAAATCATTAACTGATTTTATGTAGACAGACTATTGATACGCAATGACAAGTCAGCCCATAGAACAATAAAGTAAGAATTATGTTTGTTTTCATATCTTAAAAATTAATAGAATGATCGATATATTTTTACTTCCATAAGGATCTTATCATTTTAATGATGAATATATTATCTCAAAGCCACCTGTGGGTGGTCTTCATTTCAAATAATTTGCTTACTTCAAATTAATTTAAGGCTTCTTACATTCAATTTATGTTTTTCTGTTGTTCATTCTCGTAAAGCTTGCACTGACTTACCTTTTTTTCAGGCAAAATATATTTTGGCATTCCATTACGAAACCAAGCACCGCTTTTTTTCCATATTTCTCTCGTCTCTGCGCATATTCGGCAAAGAAATTGTCTCTGATTGTTATTTGAACGTCTAACGATTCGTTGCATAGTTGTTTTCTCTAATACACCTTTTGTGGAAGAATTCGGAAATGCTGAATTAAGTTCAGTAGTTTCTATGCCACATTTCTGACATATGTACTTGCGACAGTCCTTGCAGAGATTTGGTGTTGCACCTAGTACAGCACCAAATTTTTCACCGCATAGAGCACAAGAACATACACAGTGTGTGCTGGTAGAGCAGCGACTGCCACAGCTTCTTCTCTCATTCATTCTTGTTCCAGTGACTATGCAAACATTACGTTTCATGTTTTCTAATCTCTCTACTAATCTGCCAATCCGTTCTTGTTCTGACAAGTCTAATGCTTCAGCCCTTTGAATGACCTAACACATTTGATTTATATTTTAGTATGTTAGCTACTGTATTATATATGTTTGTTATTGTTAAGACCTTCGAAATGAACTATTCTGCTTTAATTTTTCTGATGTTACTTAATATATGTACCTGTATGATTGCTTGTTGCTCTTCTTCGTTAAGAACAAATGATTGTGCACAACGATTTGAACCAGTAGAATAGGAACTACAGTAATTACCCCATTTTGAATCTAGAGAACCAGTCTTCACAGACCATCCAGTATGCAACCTAATTATTCCAATTGTATTAATTATACGAAAGAGTTACATCATTTAAATTGGCATAAAAATGAATTTTGCAGATTTTATATTAATTATTGTGATCAAAAATACTATGCCAAAATTTTAATAATATTGATTTTAATATAAAAATTTTAATTAACTACGTATATTTATCAGATACGGGTTCTATTAATACACACATGTTTTAAATATATTTGTACTCACTTCGCTCTTAATGCCAAATGTCGATCGTTTGGACAAACCCACCTGGTTCCTCTACCTGGATCTTTTACTGTGATGTCCATTGTGTTTAGATTATCAAAACTTTTAGATCATTTGAAATGTACTCTGAACATTGTATAATGAAGTTCAGCCTATAAAAAATGAAAAAAATACAAGAAGAAATTAAAGAAAAATCATGAAATACATAAATATATATTAATAAATGATGAAACTTAACTAATAAGCTATTATTGTTTTTGCAAGTTGTAAAACTCTATATTTTTTCTTCGTTTAATAAATAGGTATACATTTTTCCCGAAATATGTCTTCATTTAATGAAAAACTTTATTAAGAAGAGAGCTGAAACAATTATTTAAAATATTGAACCATTCCTCGGTTAATTTAAATTAAATTAACAAACTCAACATGATATAAACTATAAAGTAATAGAGAGTATTAAGGAAAATAAGCGAGAACGATAATGTCTTCATTTTTACGTGAAATTAAATTTTATAATTTTTTAGCAATAGTCATGTAATGGATTTTCATTTATAAAATAAACTTATAGTATACAGGGTGTCTATGCTAACTTGATCACCTCGAATAATGACTTAACGGTACACTTTATGAAAATTTTGTGGCGTGGAACTTAAATGGCATTAAGGGACACTACTTATAAGGTACGTCCTTTTTTAGTGGGTGGAGGCATTTCAGAGATTTCAAGGTCACCTTAATTTTTTAACGAAATGACCTATTTTTTGTACCATAGATTGATAGAGTATTAAAATCTGAGTAAAAATGTGTTGACCTTCATACGCCCTAAACCTATTAGTTAACGAGATATTTACAAAATAATTTTTAATACGTATTCACAATCCGGCAGCAATTATTTTATAAATATCTCGTTAACTTTTAGCTAGGGTGTAAGGCCAACACATTTCTACTGAGAATTTGCTATTCCATCGATCTATGGTGCAAAAAGTAGATCATTCCGTTAAAAAAAAATCAAGGTGACCTTGAAATCTCTGAAATGCCTCCACCCACAAAAAAAGGACGTACCTTATAAGTAGTATCCCTTGATACCGTTAAAAAAAAAGTAAACCAAAAGTATACCGTTAAGTCATTATTCGAGTTGATTAAGTTAGTTGAGACATCCTGTATGCTTCTGTCTGAATCAATTCCTCCATTAGATTCTATTCGTTAACATTGACCGTCGCAGGCACTATTTCCTCGCCGTGAGACCGTTTCCTCTGTCCTACATACAACTGGAATTTCTACCATCCACGTTATTCACAACTTCGCGTTCTTCTTGTAACATACAAAATTGACCAAATTCTTGACATCCCGATCCGACATTACCAGACCTGAGTTATCTCTGTATAACAGTACAATCCCAATTCGAGAAATGAAGAAAATACAATACGCTAACTTTTTTTACTTTATTAAATATTAATTTAATTAACCAAGTACAATCTGTTCTACCTTCATAGAGTGTAATATCTCTTGCCCCGTATGGTATATATAATTTATTTATTTATAAAAAATTTGTCAAATGAAATTAATGTATGAGAATAATGAATGAAACATTAATATGTCAGTTTGGGGATATGTACATATACTAACATATAAAGAATGAAAATAAACGGATGTGAAAGTTCCACTTCTTTTTCTTATTTTTGGAATAACATTATATTTGTCCTTATGAGAATCTTAATTAGATCACGTACGCTATCAGTACGAATCATACAGGGAAAACAGTCCAATTGTCGTTGTGAGACTAATGAAGAACGTAGCGTTGCGGTTTTTAATCTAACAACACATACGCGTATTTAACGTTTGTATTCAAGGAAAGATATACATAGTTCGAAAGAACAGCTTCCGCTCAAAATAGACGCGCAACAAGTATCCGCTTTTATTCCTACATTATTCAAGTTGTTGAAGGGAGACTGCCTATATTTGAACATAAAATCGATATTTTAATGTTTCTTGCAACGACCCTTATTTTCTTATTACATGACATGAAACTTTTACATTTAGAAAATGAGGGGAGAACATATTGAATACAAACGTAATATATATTAATAAATTAAAGGGGGAAGGAAACTGTATTTTCGAAGCAAGTGAAATAATAATCCTAAGTCATGGTGAAGAATTTCTCTTTAAAATGACCGATATTGAGCAAACATATGCGTATACCAGTAATAAAGGAAACAAAAAGTCCATTGTAGTATTTAATTTTCTATTGTAACTGGACAAATTTCTGTATCGTACATGGGTTCAGTGCAAAAGTCACTGTAAAAGGGAGGGAAAAAAGGTGGAAACCGACTAGGAGGGGAGGGACCACTCGCTTCGGACGCGTGGCAATCGTATTGTGATAGAAAAAAAAAAATGAGCGCGAAAGTCCTACGTTGAAGGGCGATCAATCGCAGAAGCTTGTGACGCGGCGTACCATCATAACTTACATACACTTGTTACACTGCAAACGTTTCAATCGACGGATAATTATCTACTATTTTATTTAAAGAGAAAGTACATACGCGTATCCTCGAACTCCATGTACTTTAATTAACGTAAAATTTAATCTATTATTAAAGTGAACTGCCATCTTACTTCAATTTTCATTGTAGCATATGCGAAGTAGTAACATAACTACTAAACATAAAAAAAAACCGAAAATTTATCTGTTATTTCGTTGCGATCGATTCGAATCGAGTGAAATCGACTTTGATGTTTTTCGAAGAATTAAACGAACGAACACGGATCGAGAGACTTAGAGATGTGAGGCCTTGGACTTTGTTAATTGATACCGCTACTTTCATTGTTATTCAAGCGTTAACAAAGGCAGAAGTATCGAGAATATTGGTTTTATAAATAGAAGGATAGGTAGTTTAAAATAATCCAGCAGAAGTCTACTTACGAGATACGTGGATTTCTTCGGTCATGCGGGCTTCAGTTAACAGCAAATAAACAATCACTTGGAGCGTTAATTGTACAGTTCCAGAGCATTGGATAGTACGTTGTCGAGAATGCTGATACCGGTGTTGATCACGAAACAGTTTGCAGGATGTAAAAGTATCGCGTGGAGGAACGAACGGGAACAGAACTGTACTTGCCACGCTATCAGCTGGCCGACAAGTGGGTGCTATTATCGCAGGAGGAACTAGCTAGCCCACGACTCCACTTCTCTTTCAATACTGGCGCAACAGGGGTGCGTGTGGCATGCGTACGATTCACAGGGATGTAGCTAGAAAATTCGTTGGCAATAATACTTACGCACAGCGTATACATTATTATTACTGGGCGTATCCTAACTAATTGGAAGACTGGCGAGGAACTAACAGTATTCCGTTTAAAAACGTTCAAAATAGTTTCTTTGTTGTTAATTACATTGATATTCTAACAGAGTAATATGTACATGTTGCTTTTCGATTGCATGAAAACAACTGTTACGAATTTTGAACTTGATGGCTGTTTAAGGTCATTTAAAGTCAGGGATGAAAAACAATGATATGACTAGTTCCATCTTACAATTAGTTGAGATGACATTGTTGAATCTTAACCAACGAAATATCAGAGGGGAGAGAGTACTTTGTACCCACCATATTGTCATTTTGTGAATTCGCGCTAAAATAATTACTTAAAAATTCTGAAGAAATTAGATATTGTTTAAAAATATCTCCTTACCCGAGAACGTAACTATTGTTTCATAGAATTTAAAAGAAATTCAAAAACTAATAGAAACTCTTCTCCCCTCGCCGAAGGCCCGAGGTCCGGCGTCTAATCTGACTTGATCGGCTTGGTTCTCTCCGTCCCGACTTGAAGTCGACTTGAATCTGACTTGGTTACCCATCACTACTCGTAAGACAATAAGGTTTTATTAGGAGGGTATAAAGTATCCGCCCTCGGTAGACCATGTAACAAAAATTTGATAAATACGACATTCAATAAAAGGAAAATAAAGACAAGTACATAAGTTGAAATTTTGCGTAAGGTGGCAAAAATCGATTTAAGGCACAGTATTCTTAATGAAGCAAAGAAGACTGTTGAACAATAACAATTCGAATATTTTGAATCATTTTGATCCTAATAATTTAATTTATGCATGGCTTACAAATTATATGTAAATAAATACGAAATCAGTAATTATTAACAAAATATACACTTAGTGTAATAATTATTGTAACTAAATCATGTATGAAAAATTTACCAACATAGATATAACCAGTATTTTATATAAATAGTATGCATCCTTCGTTTTGATTTCAACTAATGAACGATTTAAAAAATAGAACACATATAAATGTACGTCATTACATATTTTCAATTAATTAACATAATTAATAAGAATAAAAAAAACATTTACACAAGGAGAAAAGAATATCTTTCGATGAGTTTCATACATAAAAACTCGATCTTCAGATAAAAAGGTATTGAAAAAATAATATCGCGTTTAATAGAGACTTTAATTAACAATTATTATCTAAAGTCACAATAAATTTGCTCGTAATTTCTTTCAATTATGTACATATTAATAATCATTAGTTTAGTCGGTTTAGGTAGAGGATTGAGGAATACAATATAGGTGTCCTTGTACTATATCGTAGGTATTGACGTGTTACGCTTTGCAGCCGTTCGGGTCGCCTACATCTTGCGTACACGTGTAAAAGATAAAGACAACTGAATTTTAATAAACCCTTTCCCTTTTATACACTTTAAGAATTAAGGAAATTGCATTTCAAAAGCTACAGTTAATTTTTCGATTTTATAAAGATATAATCGTCAGGAATATATTACTAAACATATTTTTAATTTTAGTTAATACCATTATTGATATTTCTAATTCAATAGTTTACACTTTAAATAATTATAGATTAGGAATACGTAGTTAAAAATGCCAACAAGTATGTGGTCAATAACTAAGAATTTATCTTGTACAATGAACTGACTTACATAACATATTGTATTAAAAATTTGGAACATGCAACTACAAAATTGCATAACTTTATTTGTAATACATACATATATACAATCTTTCTATATATAAGGACATCATATTAGTAGCATTACTTCACCAATGGTGTTTGCAGTTGTTTTATATAGATTGTTAAGAAAAATATCTATCAATATAATGTAACGTTTCAAAAGCAACTTCAACCATGATAAGAATAATAATCATCCATTCTAAACGAATATGATGACGGTCACTTAAATGGGTAGATAGAATTCCTACAAGCTCCACACAATGGTTAATTTTTTCATTTATAACCTGTGTAATAAAATGAAATAATTACATGATATATAATAAATTCAGTTATGATGTTAAAACTTACTCTTGTACGCTTTGTAATGTTAAAATATGAACATGTTTGTTGATATAAAGTTTCCAAGTCCTCTCTTTCCCAGTAGAAATCAGGGGTATCTAATAAATCCGAACTTAAATTAATTGAATGGCGTAATGCAAATAATTGTCCCTGTTTTTTTAATACTTCCTGTTGAGTCATTCTAAGCTTTCTGCCCAATTTTAAATCTTCAGTAACAAATTCAATTGAGTCTATGTAATTATCTAACGATGCTTCCCATGTACCCAACTTAACTGATTGGGCCATTGCATTTGAAAATGTATATTTATCTAGCTTTGTTGCATTTATTGTTAACATAATATTTCCATTCTTTATATGACTCTGTTTCCTGTAGGGTATTACATGAAACGATAATATAAAGTATACAAAAATTAATTTTAAATTTGAATAATGATATAAAATTTTAAAGCTTTTTATATTATTACCCGCTATCTGCATAGCTGTACGTCATCAGTTCACTTTCTGATTGAATGCTATAATCTGAATATGGATTATCTTGATATTGCTTTAGAAACTTCAGTATGTTGCCACATTCAAGGTCAGTAACATTCCAAATAACTATAGTGCCCTCTCGAAAAAAGAAGATTTCTCTTGGCTCAAATTCTACTTCATATTTTGCCGTTGCATGTATAACATCTGGTAAAGCTGTAAACACAATTTAAATGAAGCACGACAAACTAATTTAATATTTACTAATTTTCTAATGTAATGTTACCTATCTCATATCAGTATTATTACATGCATACTGTTATTTTCTTTAGTATTTGAAATTATGAAGATAAACAAAAGTTCACAAAATAACAAAAGAAATTGTCAGAAATTTAATATATATATATATATATATTTTTTTTTTACTAGAAACCCAATGCTTATGTTAAGGATTTTATTATAATAATATTATTAATCCTTTGACTAAAGCCCACTTTAACTAAAACATTCAAATGACATGATATCTATGTACATATACATCCTCCATAGTCAAAGGGTTAAATTTGATTAAAGTCTTCATTTTACAGTGTTTATAGATTAAAACCTGCTATAATAGAGTATTAATTTAATCTTAACCGATCTAATTTAATTTCAATATGCACTTAGCATTAAAATATATATATTAATAAAGTTCCATTACCTGTATTCTATAACTGTGTTATATATTATTACATTTTCAATTTATTAAACATAAACCTTCTGCAATCATTTGCTTGAAAGTTTGTAAGAACTATCATATTTTCTTAGAAGTAATAGATAAACATTTTTTGTAGTTATAGGTACAAGAAATGATTTGAAATCTTAAACAATGAAAAAATCTTTAATTTATACATATTAAAAAATTGTATTAAAAAGGAATAACATGGTAATACTTATGTACTATATAGGGTGAGGCACCTAACTTGACCACCTCGAATAACTTGTAAGTTATGTGTTGTAGGCATAGAAAATTATTTCAACAGGTGTTATATGATATCAAGGGAGACATTATGTGCTGTACCTGACTTCTTTGTAAGTGGAGGCATTTAGGAGATTTGAAGGTCAACTTTGTTTTTTTAAATGGAATCCCTATTTTTTTATGGCAGTTATAAAGAGTATTAATTTTCAAGTAAAAGAGTATTAAACATTGTTTGTTCTAAAGCTAATAATTAACGAGATATTAAGAAAAGTTTGATCCTAATGTCACCGAGTAATTCGCGAAGACGACGGTGTTTATCTGATAATGTTTATCAACATGTCACGTACTCTTACTTATTCACTCTTGCTGATACATAAGGTGCAATAAGAGCAATAAGAGCTAAAATTGATTATGTTGAACATTTTAATCTTCAACAACTGTGTTATAGTAGATGCTCAATATGGTGTCTGTTGTCTCATTCTTTCGAACTGCCGTGAAAAAGATAGGGCATTTCATTTAAAAAAAACTCATAAACGCCTTCACTTATAAAGAAGTCATGTACACCGCATAATGTTTCCCTTGATACCATGTAACATCTGTAGAAATAATTTTCTATACAACACATAATTTAGAAGTTATTCGAGGTGGTTAAGTCAGGTGCCTTACCCTGTATACGTATATGTATAGGTCTAGTAGTCTACATATTTAATGGGTTTTTGTATATTAAGACCAATTATCCAATATTTAGAAACTTGTAGAAGATTTAACTTAAGAAACTAGAAATTACATTTCCTACAGATTCATAAAATTTTAGCAGTGAACAAATAAAAGTATTATGCAGTACATAGGAATATCATACACATATTGATCGAGCATGGTACTAAATTACAATAAAGTAATAACGTGTTATCAAAAGTATTATTTAGGTATGTATATCCCAATCTACTAGAAACGGACTATCGCATGCACCTAATCCTGCTGCTACACCACCTTCATTAGCAGTAGCTAGCTTTGTTCGCAACATGTGACCACCCTGTTTATTAACATGTACATTGTTTTCATCAGCAATAATAATACCAAATATTCCTAGCTCAGAAACTAATTCTTGCGGTTTTATGTTCATATTGTCTTCTGGTCTAACCATATAACTATTATGAATTGGGGGATAAATTTTATCCATAAGAATCCAAGCTACCCTATCCTGTTTATGTTTCACAGACTCTAGGAAATATTTTATATCCAATCCATATTTGTTATTGGAACCTCCTTCTCGTTGAGGCTTCAGTACAAATCGATGTGGATCTGCAATCCCCATTTCAATAGCAGCATTTCCATGTTCATTAAAGTCTAATGTATAAAGCTCTGTACAAAATAGTACAATGCAATGGTTTGTTAACAACATAATACAATCCTAGTCATACATGTAAAAGAAATTCACTTACCAGTGAATATTTCTTTAATTTCAGCACATATCTTTTGATCTTTTAGAAACTTACTAATTACACCTGGCTTTGCAAGAGCTTGCTGAATTTTTTTAGTTCCTGCTAAATGATACTGGATAGTAGGACATTTAATTGCTAATGATCTTTCAATTAACAATCTTACTTCCCATTCGTTTCTGGTGTGATATTGTCCAGGTTCATATCCACATCTATAATATACTACAGCTACAACATAATTATCTACTATCAACTCCTTATTGGTACCCAATTTTGCAGTAGCAGCTAATTGTGTTAAGTTCAGACGAATCACTCTGACATTTGGATTTTGTTTTCTAATTTCAAATTCGTGGAAACGTTGATCGCATATATTATATGAAACATCTTCAATGACAAATAAAATTACAGCTCTGCAAACAATTATACATATAGTAAGTACTTTATGTTTATATATTAATCTCTATATTCCATTTTATTTCTCAACATTTTTAACTCTAAAAATGCAATTAATTATTAACGTACTCATTATCTCCATACACATTCCATGCTTCTATCATACTTGAACATATAATTTGTAATGCATCATTTGCTGGAAGATTCTTTACTTTTTCATAATAACCAAGTTCTCTTAATACATATTTGTGTAAATTCGTTGCAGCAGGTCCTAGCCAACCAAAACCAGAAGCGATTGTATTTATTTCAACTTGTTTCCAACAACAATATGGTATACAAGTATTATTCAAATCTTCTTTCATACAACTTGTGTCTAACATTAAATCTGACCGTAAAATGCCAAGAGATATCTTTTGTGCTGATCCTCCTTCATTATTTATAATTGTACATATTTCAAATAAATCTCTAGTAAAACTATCAACTTTTGTTGTTTCTTCTAAAGTTTCTTTTAAGAAGTTATAATCTTGGGCTACCTTATGTATAAGTAAGTTCAATACTGGTTGAATCTGACAAGCATTCTCAAACTCTCTTCTAGGAAATGGAGATGGCAGCAGAATAAATGGTGCAAATTGTAACATATTTTTATTAAAATTTGTTTTTGATCTCATGCACATTCCATGCATAAGGGCCCAATCTTTTGCTTTTCCTATTAATTCTTCTAATTCTTTTTCCGAAGTAGGTGAATAAAGTATTGAGTCCATTGTACACTTTCCTTTTCTGTTGATCTTTATAAGTAATATCTCAAATCACAGATTCTACTAAATTTCTGGAATCTATATTACCACGTTGTTTAAAACTGAACAGCTATCAAAAGTAAAAGTTGTTATTATATCAAGGTATTTTGTAGACAATGTATTTTTAATGTTTACACAAGTGCACAATATTGTATATAAATTATTACATGAAAATTTCATCACTTCTAAATATTGTAATAGTAATGTACAAAATGAATAATTATTAAAAAAATACAAATATACTTGTAATTATAATCATATATTTACTCTGCATACTGAACTTTTTTATATCTATACGTCTGTTTCAATGACAGTGTTATGTACAGGTTATGTTTTAAAACTAACCTCAAAATATATATCTTTATTACTAACCTGCTCAAGAATAGATTTTATTTAAATAATAATTATTTCCACCTTAATTAGAATTTAATAGGAATGATTGATGTATACGTAAAAACATTTGTATAGTATAAAATTATACATATATGTGCCATATACCTGTATACAGTGTACAGTAACAAAATATAAAGAACTTCGTTACTTCTCAGACAAAACAGTTTTTCATTTCTAATAAATTTCTTAAATACGTGTATAATCTCTAAAAACTATATGTTTCAATAATTTTGACCTTTTCCAAAAAATATAAATTTATTTATATAATGTGCAAAATTTAGGGAGCAACATGTATATAGTTAATTACAAAAATCATCTCATAAATTTAAAGTATTCAAACAAATACAAGGGCTTTGATAATTTCAGGGACATTAATCGATTTACTAGTTAAAATTACATATTTTAAAAATATACCGATTTTTCTTTTATTTACTTATGCAAAACTATATGTATAAATTAAAAAAAAAAACAACCTCAAATAAGTGATACTACAAATATGATTCATACTTTGTTGACTTTTTTGCAATCTTCTTTACACAAATAAAATTAAATTTTCTGTAATATCTACGGAAATGTTTTTCTATACATCTTGAATATTTTTCAAAGATTTTTTTGATTATATTTTTTTAACTGTTTAATCATTGATGCATTTTCATCCAAATATGTTTAATTAGATTAAAATCTGGTGATTCAGGGGCAGAGGAAGGGACTGATATAACCGATTTAAAACATTATAGCTATTTTTATGTTTGGAATTACTATAATGAAACATCCAATTACTATTGAACACTAATTACTCTGGAGATTGTAACAAATTGCTTTGTAATGAATGCACGTACATATAACAATCTATTGTATTATTTATAAAAGCTAATTTATTTTCACTTATGACTACTACTGACCCTCAAACCATAACACCACCTTCACTGTGTTTCACAGTTAAAATGAAATTCTATAACTTCATTAGTTCGTTTATTTTTCTCCAAACTTTTCCTTTAATGTTACAACCAAAGGCAGAAAGTTATTGATTGCTAGAAATTGTCATTATTATCAACTTGTTTAAAACAGATTGTGTTTTATCGTTTTATGATCCTGGAATTACATGTGATACTTGCAGTGTGAAATATAGTACTTATTGAACACACCATAAATGGACATAAATACTTAAATTTATCATTCAGTAACTTACAATCATTAGCTGACTATACAGACTAGAATGGTGGTATATTTTAAGAAGTGTGTGATCATAAGCACCCCATTCCTATTTTCAAACAAATAGTTTGTCTACATAATGTACAACGGCATTTATTTTCATCCCCACAGTTACCAAATTAGAATTTTATAGAATATATTTTAAAAGAAATGGGATTAAATGAATAAAATTGTCCCTAAAGCAATAAAATTTGTTACATATGTTAATTACAGTACCAAACAAAAGTGTGCGTACACCCTTTAAAATGGAACAATTTTTTTAAAATTGATCCAAATGACTTGAGTTCTTTTGTGAAGTTAGGGACATTTGTGTACTAAATGATGTGTAAAAAAACAATTGAAATGTTGCAATTGATCGGAATCGCGAAGAAAATAGTAACGGTCGTTTTTTACAACTTTTTAATCTGAGGCTATAATGAAAATTTAATAAATACATATCGAAGATTTATTTTTATGAAAGCACTGATGACTTGAGAAAGCATGTAAGAACTATCATTAGTGCACATGCAAAAAGTTTCAGAAGTAGGTATATTAGAAAATGTGAATATGTCAGTTGTCAAACTGTTAGATGTCTGTATCAGCAATAATGGTAAACAGTTCAACCACCTTTTATAATAAAACATTCATTGTATATATCTCAATAAATACCCACTTTATTAGACCATTATGCTTTAATCTTTAATTACTTAGTTTTTAATGTTCATGTAATTTCTGCAAAGAAATATAGGATATTTTTGTATCTCTGATCCACCACTAAAGTGGTCCCAGATGTTACAAAATTCCTGTATACTAGTCAAAATTACGTGTCTTTGTCATGACAGTTTTATTTTTATCAAAATGAATTTAATTGCATATGGTGGGAAATATAAACTTATTTTATTGTGTGCTGAAACTACTTTTGAACTGAATTATAAAATCAGTCCTTTATTTCACAAAGGAAAAAAAAAATAATTGTTTGAGTAAAAATTGTGAAAAAATAAAATTTGGAATGAGTATTACAGAAATAATGGCATGACAAATATTATCTGTTAATTCTCTAAATTTTACACTATTCTATGTAATTAATGAAACATTCTAAAAAAACAAACCAAGAGATGATACTGATATGAGTAATTATTTTCTTATGACTAATAAATAATTTTCTTCAATTGTTATTATAATCAGTTTTATAATTACATATTTTGAACATTCGATGGAACAATTTTTATAAGCATGTTTTCTTATCAAAATTTCTAGTGAATGTAATTGTTACACATGTATTTTAAATTTATGTATTTCATAATTACATTCCAATAACTTTGAATGACATTAGGTAATATAATTTAGAACCAAATAATTCAACTAGTTCTATATATAAACGAATATATATAATTTCATTAAAGAAAGAAAAATTAATGAAATTTAACTGTATATAGAATTGTAATTTTTTATAAGTCTATGTAATGTTCTAAATAACACAAATGTTATTTTAATGTTTTCTCAACTATAAGTAAGTAACAAAAATGCCCACAAACTCCTACGTTAAATTATTACCTTAAACCTATAAAAATTTTATACTTACAGCTGGTTGATGTTAATATTGTATCAGGTATATACAATTTTTGTTCCAATATGCCTTGTACTAAACCTTCCAAGTCATATTCTTCCGCAGTAGCAAATGCTTTTACAGTCCACTCCTATAAACAAAAAGTCATACTTTTAGTTATAAAGTAACCATTTAGTAACTTATAATATAAATGAAAAACTGTAATTTTATTCCTTCACAATTAATTTTTTTAAGAAATAATCCTAGTATATGTTGTAACATTTGGTCACTCTACACTAATAAGTATTTTACACATAAAATTTTATTAGTATTATAATTTTTAAATAATGCTTCATATAACTTATTAATTACTTACGCCAATATTTTCGTTCTCACTTGAAAAAGGTCTTTTCTTGGGCCTCTTCTTCAGTTGAGAGGCTGAATAATTACCGCTATTCGTATTTTTAACACTTTTCACGTTAGTTTCAGTTTTTTCATATTGAATTCTACTAGTATGTAAGAAATGATTACCATTACATTGTAAATTTAATTTTGTAACAAAACTAGGTTTTGTTAACGATGTACTGCACAATACAAATGTAGTCGAAAATTGTTTAAAAGCATTGCATTTAACACTGCTTTTACACATTGAGAAAAAGCACCTCTGAATTACCGTGACATTCATCTTATTTAGTATCGCAGTCAATAAATTCGTACAAAAACGGATACATAAAAGTTACATCAAATTATTTGTGTACTTAACTGAATATGTACATACATATTGTCACAGAGTTATATTTATAATTCACATTAATATTTTGTATTCCGATGCAATTCCCGGTCCCACTAACCACATGTGTATACATGTGGATACCAGAGTTTGGACCATAGAGACATATTGTATAAGACAGAGCCTGGACTGGACCAGGCTGGCCTATAGACATATACAGGGTGTAACAAAAATGTTGCAGGACCCTGTTTCGGAATGAAAAGGTAAGACGCGTTCGTCAAAAGTAAATAGGACAGGACGCTCTCGCCCATACTCCAAGCCTGTCATAGATTGCATGCGCCCAACGCCGATATGCTAGTTTCTTCCCTGAATTTCGCGCCGTGGTGCGTTACAGCGCGTGCGTGAGAATATTTACGGTGAGAATATTCGTGGAACCAATCCGGCGCGTTTCTGAAAAGTCCTAACGAATTTTGAACGAAAACCAGTAGAAACTTTGCTGCTCGCCGAGCATTCTGTCGTGAACCTTTGTAGTAATCACAGATCTTAACAAATTTCTCATTTATCAACTCGCGCGTTAATTATCGCAACACTACACGTGTTATATTTATCGCTCTCGATGTTTGAGTACAATTGTGGCAAAAATCGGCGATTAGTGTAAACGATTTTCGTGATCGCCAAGATCTATCGTGTACGGCACTCTCGATCACCACTTCGCGGCTCTCCAGTGCCCACCGAGTGTAATTGTGTTTTCGTGAGACATTGTTAAGACTCTCAACAATAAACTGTTCCGGCCAAGCTCCGGTGTGTTTTTCGTTGCAACACTAAGAACTAGCTATCCTAAAGCGATCGTTTCAACCCAATGTTCGACTCGGCCCGCGATAAACTGGCAACATAAACAGACCTGGAAACTCGTGAGGTAATATGAAACAAGTTTTTTCTAAGCAGAAATGGTATCTGAGGCTTTGTTAACGAGGTATTAACAAAACACCCCGATCAATCAAAGCGCGAGTCTGCCAGCTGAATTCCCGCGGTAACCAATTACAGCACGTAGCCAACGTTACCGCGGGAACTCGGCCGACAGACTCGCGCTCTGATTTTTGTTACACT